ACTAAAATTACCCCTAGATGACCCCACATTGTTCTATTTGTACTTGCACCATCAGTTGTAAGACCAACTACTTGGCCACCAGCATTTTCCATCAACATAATTGCTCTAATAGTAAGCTTAGCAAGATCAATACCTATAACAAAATATTTAAATTAGTTTAATTTAAATTATCTATCTTATTACTAATTAACCTTTAACAGTTCCTTTGAAAACAAAGACAGCAATAGGTTGAACTAAATTGTCAGCCAGACTTTTCCACATGTAAACCAATGCATGGTTAGCTTTTTCCTTTCGAGAATTACCAGTTATAATTTCGCCTCCATAATCTTCAAGTCCTATATATGATAATGTGCGGCTGTTAACGCATATACTTTCTCGCAAGATTACTTCATCAAGCACAAGAACACCTTGTTTTTCTTGTTCTGATTTGTTTAAAAATTTTTATTTTAAAAGTTTAAAAAATTTTTTTATCAAATCCGCATCGTATTTCTACGGCCAATAAATGTGCTCTTATAGAATTAGGATATGGTAGTGGTAGTATTTTATTGTTCCTCAAAAATGAATAACCACTAGGAGATCTAAAAAATGTTTTATCAATAAAATAAAATAAAGTAATACATCTATATGTATAATTAATATTTAATCATGTTTTCAGATAAAATGTTATTTGTGCTGACATAAGTACCTTATTTGGAAAAGCATACATAGTAACATCCAATTTTCACTATATCGCCTATTTTTTGGAATTTTTATTATGGCTGCTTTGAAAATTTCCCGAATAAGATCTGACCGGCTGTTTGAAATATTAGAATCTTTTAAAAGCTCATCAAGTGTTGATTGAGAAATTTGTTTCATTTTATTTTTAACTTCATTAAGGCTATTTTCAAGATAAATAATTTTTTTCTTTGCTCTTGTTATTTTTTTTTTATTAATGTTTTAGCATCTTGAATCCTTACTCATTTTTTTTCTTGTTTGGAGAAAAAAATACCCGGGTGTTCTGATTGTTTTTCATGCGCAATCTCTTATTTTTAATTATATAATATAAGCGTTCACACCATAAACAAATATTGCTGAAAACTCTTAACATTACACATAGTTCAACTAATGAAAAAATAATTACCTACCCATTTACGGTATCATCTTTTAATATTGTAGAGCACTTTAAATGTCTCCATAGTCACATACTTCAACAAATTGGTAACCACATGAAGACTTGATTTCATTAAATTGGCTCATTGATTAAATCAATGATTATACTTATTATTTAATTAGTAGGTTATTTTGAAGTTCAGCGCATGCTTGATAAAGACTTGAAAACTGTAACGTTGAAACATAAACCTATTAACTAAATTAGTATCCTATTTTATGGGTAGGTACTTATACAAATCGTTATGTCATTTTTCTGCCGAATTTAATTTTACCAAAATTTTCTTTTACCTCTTTTATTGGGTTTTATGGTTTTTGTTTGGACAAGTACTACAACACACATCCTCCAAATACAATCTTTTATCTACAAAAGTATTAAGTACTTGTATCTGATAGTCAGAAAAAGGACTGAAAAAAGATTATTATTTTGTGCATTGTGCTAAAAAAATTTTTTGAATTAATGAAAGAGTTTTTACTTTTTACCATTGTTACCCAACTGCGTGAAAAAGGCGTACGTATACCCAAAAAAATTGTAAATTTATATGCACGAACATTTTTTATAAATACTCATGGAAATTTAAAATTTCAAAAAAATCATTGTCAAATATAGTGTATAAAATATTTGATAGAAAAATAGATTATTTCACTTAGGTAGTAGATACATTATACTTATATTTAGTGACTGTAAAGTCACAAGCTGCGATCCAACTGCCCACGACACGGGTTATTTAGTTGGGTTTAATAGGTCTAATCTACCCCAACGCTGCAAACGGCGTTGGCCGGTATGATTATTTAGATCTAAACTTATTCGATAACAGCAGCGCCATCTACTGCCGCCGTATTATACTAACCCCTAATACGTACGTAAGAAACTAACCGTCACGACTCACGGCTCTTCGGTTTACTGAAAGATGAGATGTTAAGTGAGGTTTAGATGGGTTTCGTGAGGTTTAGTTGGGTTTCGTGAGGTTTAGTTGGGTTTCGTGAGGTTAAAATCTAACCTAACGCTGCTAACGGCGTTGGCCGGTATTATTATTTTGATCTAAACTTATTCGATAACAGCAGCGCCATCTACTGCCGCCGTTATATACTACCTCCTAATACGTACGTAAGCAGCGCCATCTACTGTCGCCGTATTATACTAACCCATAATACGTAGGTTAGAAACTGGCCGTCACGACTCACGGCTCTTCGGTTTACTGAAAGATGAGATGTTAAGTGAGGTTTAGATGGGTTTCGTGAGGTTTAGTTGGGTTTCGTGAGGTTTAATCTAACCTAACGCTGCTAACGGCGTTGGCCGGTATTATTATTTAGAACCAAATTAATTCGATTACAGCAGCGCCATCTACTGCCGTGGTATTATACTAACCCCTAATACGTACTTAAGCAGAGCCATCTACTGCCGCCGTATTATACTAACCCCTAATACGTACGTAAGAACCTGTACCTATTTGTTTTCTCTCTTTGGTCCAAACCATAGAACAATGAATAACCGCTTGGAGATCTATGAAGTATTCTAGTATTTGTAAATTATTAAAAAACTTGAATATTATACTATTATTATACTTACCTTATTTGAAACATTAGGCATAATAACATCCAGTTTTCATTATAGCGTCTACTTTTAGGATTTTTAAATTTTGCCGCTGCGAATATTTCTTTAATTAGTTCTGATTGACCCTGAGCAACGTTTGCTTTATTTAAAATGTCACTTGATTTTTGTTCACTTATGTTTTTCATTTCATTTTGAATTTTATTTAAACTATTTTGCAATTTTAAAATTTTACTATTTCTACGAAAATTTTGTTTTTGAATTATTTCTTTAGCCTTTTGGATTCTACTATATTTTTTTTGTTTGTTAGAAGAAAAAATTGTTAAAATATTTTGTCCACTATTAATTCTTGCACGTTTTTTTTTACTAGAATACAGTAGACGTTTACACCAGAGACAAATATTGCAGTTACTGAAACATATTTATTACAGTATTGTGAGTTAAAACTATATATATATTTCATTATTTTAATTTTATCAACTGCTTAATAATTTACCTATCATCATTAATTACACTTGAACACTGTATGTGTCTCCATTGACCACATGATTCAATGTATTGAGGACCATATGAAGCCCTTATATCCTTATTTTCAGTAGAAGAAAAAGCTCCTGGACAGCATTTAATTTTATCAAATTCATTAAAAAGTGACTGAAATTCTATTAGGTTTTTTTGTTGACTGTTTCTTAACCCAATTTCATGGGGTGTTACAATTGTATTATTGATAAGTAAAATTATTTTAGAATCTAGAAAATATTACATTTAAGTATAATTAATTATTTAATACCGTTCTTTTATAATACTGATATAATAAATAGTAATATACCATTTTTAATATTGAGTTGCTTTTCAATTTATCTAGAATAATTGCTTTTGAAAGTACTCAGAGTGTGGAAAGCAATATCAATTGGAGCTATTTCATTACTATGAAACCAGTTTTTTGGTACATCTATCATTTGTCTGTTGTTTAAAACCAATTGGTATAAAGAAGTTGAAGGGTTTAATGTGTCAATCTGCTTAAACAATAAAGTAATATTTAACAATGAATAATTTTATTCTATTTTAATTTGTAATCTGTTTTTGAAATTTACCTTTCTTTTTTTAGGTTCTGGCGGAATCAATGCATTACTAGGTATAAATGGTTCAATAAATGTCTGTTCACAGTTAGAGACGTTACCAAAGTCAATTTGTTTATTAATATTTAAACCGTGGGTAAGACCTAGTGGTAGTACCACATTTTCGTTACAAATATTAATATTATCATTTTTAATGTTTATTGGGATTGCAGTGATTGCACCCTTTTTAAGTTGCAATCTCTTTAAACACACCTAATAAAATGTAGAAAAGATTAATTATACAAAAACTTAACATTATTTATAAAAAAATATATTTACAGTTTATTTACTGGATGGCTATCTCCCAATATGCGGTCTACCTCCGTTTTGTGTGCTACGTAATTATAAATATGAGTATAGTATGCGGTCTATCAATGTTATGTGTTCAGACTAGTGTTCTACCTATATAGCTGGGAATCCCGCATCATTTATATTTAGTATCTACCAATTTATATGTTTTATCTTAATTTTTCATAACGATATATATTTTATCATACAGGTTACTGGGTTAGTTGGTTTAGTGTCGTTTGTAGCAATACAACGCTTTTTAAATTTTGAGTCTTTGGAGGCCTCTTAGACTCAAAATCGTTAAAAAAATTTGTGGTACTAATGAAGACCTCTTAGATAGGTACTTAGCCGAGTATTGGTGGCGAGGATAAAATAAAACAGATAATATTTTTGATGCTTTCCTTAGAGATATGAAATTAAGCTTTGTGGATAATTTTGTGGATCCTTAAGGTTAGGTTAAGTTAATAATTAGGTTATAAAATATATATGTTAAGTTTTTTTTTTTATAAATTGCAATAACATTTTTGTGTTCTATGGTTCTATCGTTCTAAGAATTCAAGTGTAAGATCAGATATTTTTAGTTAACTGATGAGTAGAATAAAATAATACTCGAAATTCGAATTACTAGCATTTTATTAGTAACTAGTAGCTACTAACTACTAACTACTAATAAATAGTAATTACTAATTACTGCTATAGTGCTATCATTCGATTATTTTTCCTAATAATCGAGTTACTCGATAAATACCAACAATCGAGTTACTCGATTATTTTCTCTCGATTGTTCCCATCACTAGGCCAACTATTATACTATCTTAAATCGTGGTAGTATAGAAGCCTGTGATTATTTGATAGTAGGATTTATGATAACACGTGCAACGAGCTACCGCGTGGTCTAGACAACGAAACATGTCAATATTAACCAGCGTAATAACGTCCAGCGGCTAGTGATTACCTGCTGTAAATTGTAATCCGTAGCCGAATAGGTAGTCCATAGTCAGTTGAGGCTTGGGACTAGTTAGTTGTGAAAACATCAATTGGAAAAATGTCGGACTCCGAACACGAAAGTGAAGACGAAATGGTCGTCGAGGATGAAAACGAAGAAGCCGGCGAATCGTCGGGCGTAGCTAATAAAAAAGAACCACGACAGGTTTATTTGCCCGGTCATCAGATGCAGGAAGACGAGTCGTTGGTGTTCGATCCATCTGCTTACCACATGCTGCACGACATCGATTCGGGTACATTTGATCATTTGGGTGTTGAATAATTTGTTAACTGCCATACTTATTGTTCTAAATTATGATCATCTACTTCCCATGTTTAACCATTAGGTTTGCCGTGTTTGAGTTTTGATGTGATCGTTGATGACATGGGTTGTAGCCGTAGTGACTTTCCACATTCTATGTATTTGGTTGCCGGTAGCCAAGCAGAAAAACCTAAAGACAATTGTGTGTTTGTTATGAAGGTATGCACTTTACCCAATATCCCTTAAATATCAACACTTAACACTATAAAATAATAAAATAGTGTTTTGTATACTACAATTATTTGTTTTAGCTATCTAACTTGAATGCGATTAAAAACGATGAAAGTAGCTCATCGGATGATTCAGATGTGGAGTCTGACAGTGACGATGATGAATCTAAAGATCAACCTGTGTTGCAGATATCATCAATTCCTCATTTGGGCACTGTTAACCGTATTAGGGTAAATTACTAAGCTTTTTCTTATACAGTTGAACATTTAAATGTATGGATTGTGGTATAATGAATACTATGTAGTCAGCAATATTTATACTGCACTACAAAGTATATAATGAGCACAATAGTGCTAGCTTACAAACTACAAAATATATTTATTTTTCCATTCCAATTCATATTAGAAGTACATCACATATTTTGTATTTAGTCTTCTTTCACTGCCATTAGCGGTATCCTTTATTCTCAGATAATTTTACTGTTATAATTTAACATACTCTTACAAAATACTACACATCATTTTTATAAATCACAATATCTACAAAATGTATGAAATATTTATTATTTTTAAATGTTTATAGAATACTACAGTTGATGACAAAGTATTTGCCGCTGTATGGTCAGAAAGAGGAATTGTCAATATTTATGATTTAAATAGTAAATTGAAGGAAGTCGAAAAAGCTAATAGAAATCGTAAAATTGGAAGTGAAGAAAAGAAAAAAAAGTTTGGCAAAGCGGCTCCCAAAAGAATTATATCTGAACATAAACCTTTATATTCATATTCTGGACATAGAGATGAAGGTTTTGCTTTAGATTGGTCTTCCAAGGCTCCAGGTATTAATTACATTTTTATCTTTTATAATGTAAAATAAATACTATAAATTCTTTTTTTTTTCATCAGGATTTTTAGCTAGTGGTGATTGCAAAGGAAATATTCATACATGGAAACCAAGTGAAAGTGGTTGGGTTGTTAATTTACATTCATTAGGTGGACACAAAGAATCTGTTGAAGATTTACAATGGTCTCCAAATGAAGTTAATGTGCTTGCTTCTTGTTCCGTGGACAAATCGTAAGTAAATATAATACATTTTATATTAACAATACAAATGATTCTACAGCTTAGTATATTTTTTTATTAAACAGGTTAAGGATATGGGATACACGATTAGCACCAAATAAAGCCAATATGTTGACAATTGCTGATGCTCATGATAGCGATATCAATGTCATAAATTGGAACAAAAAAGAGCCATTAATCGTTTCTGGTGGTGATGATGGAAAACTTATGATTTGGGATTTGAGACAATTTAAAGTATACCTACACTTTAATAGCTTATATATGTAAAATATGATTTTAATAGAAATTTATTGAAATTAGAAAGGTAAAGAACTAGCTGTATTCAAACACCACACTAGTGCTATTACAACAGTCGAATGGAGTCCAGATGACAGTTCAGTGTTTGCGTCTGGAGGTGAAGATGATCAAATTGCAATTTGGGATTTAGCTGTTGAAAGGGATACTACAAATGATCAAGATGACATAAAAGTATAGAATTTAAATAAATAATATATTTATTGACAGTGAAAAACCTTGTATGATGGATATTGGAACTTTTCTAGTATGCCTTTTTTTAAAACCAATATTATGTTGAATTTTGCATTTTTAATCATGAGAAGTAGTCGCTCCCTATGCCTGAAGGCTTTGGTTGCCAGATTTTTTAATCTTCATGCACCAAAACACCTCACATAGAATATGGTGACAATATAATAGTACATTAACCCTATACTCAGTGAAAGCAATCACTTTTTGCACATTATGAATGATGTGATTGCCACGTCGAGAACCACATGATCACACTAACACCAGGTTGTTGGTGGGAGATATGCAACACTCACAAAAATTAGTTGGTCGACTGATAATTCTCTTTTGAGACAAGAGGATAGTAATTACCTATATAAAATATAAATCAAGGTTGAGACCATTTATCTATACTGCTGTAATGTGATGCTATATAGTAGAATAATAAGCAGTAACTTACTTCTTTTATTTTCCAGTTTAAATAAAATCAAAAAAAAAATCTATGATGGCATAAGTAATAGGTAAAATATAAACAGGCTAGCATTGCTGAGACAGATGGGGTCCAGAACCATGGCTATACCTGTGATACTCAATATACCTACACTTATAATTCATAATATTTATGATTCTTAAATTAATAATTATAATTTAATCTTTGAGGTCCACTAGAAGTGTTTATAATTCTAAATTTATTTAACTAATTATTAGATGTGTTAAATATTTGATTATTTTATCTAGGAAATTCCACCACAGCTTTTGTTTATTCACCAAGGACAAGAATCTATCAAAGAGCTTCATTGGCATCCTCAAATTACTGGAGTTCTTATAAGTACTGCACAAACCGGTTTCAATGTTTTCAGAACCATAAGTATATAAAAAAAATTATGACAGTTAAAAATATATTTGGCATTTTTTACTAAATTACAGTTAATTTTTTAAATATACAATATACGTACATAATACACATAATATATTCTTAATTATATATTTTTTTTTTTGGAATGTTTCTGTTTCTTTATTCAATGGCTAACGTGTTTTCCTTTTTTACACTACAGTGATTCATATAAGCTAAAAATGAACTCCAAGCTAGACTGCATAGACTAACAAATGGAATCCTATTTTTTTCTGGAATCATTGTATAATTGAATACTTGTAGTAAAGGCCAAACTGCTACACCCACCTATTTTGTAAAATAATTAGAAAATAATGTTATTACCACATGATATAGTAACTTCACGATGAGTTTATAAAATTAATATAATTTTTGAAATATAACAACAAACAATTGAAAAGTTGATTCATTGTTTGAAAGTACAAATACATTAGTTTGTAACTATTGACTCTTGATCAATCAATTTAAGGTAAATTTATAATTCTATGGTAAATTCACTAAAGATCTATTATAAAATTATTTTTTATCTGTTTTAGAAATTGAATTCTGATTTATTATACTGTACACAATTTGGTAAAATATGGTTATTTCTAGTTGCATTCATTATCATTATTCAATATTCATAAAAACAAATCTACACAATTTTATATTATATTGATTTTCATTAAGTTGGGAAAGTGACATTGAGTTTTACCATCTCAAAACAATTCCACTAGATATCAACAGTAATAATTTAAATTATACTTTGTACATTACTTTAAGTACATAGTATTAATATATATATTGTATTATTGTATTGCATTTGAATGATATATATTGAATCTTGGATTTTAAAACTCAGAAAAATAACCAAAAATG